TATGTGGTAAACTAAAGAGCCGTTTGGGAGCCGAAAGAGCCGGCTCTTCTTGGTGAGCCGAGCCAAATGATCCGGCTCACCAAGAAGAGCCGGAATTCCCATCACTAGTCACAATCTGCAGCTTGAGGAGGGAGAGGAGTGCTTAGGGACCGTCTACAAACTGCAACGGGGTTTTGCGAGATATCGCAAAAGTATTTCGAGTTCTCGTAAAGGGGTTTTGCGATATCTCGCAAAACTTATTTTTTTTTATTTTTTTTCAAATATTTTTTTTTTCCTTCTCCATGTCCCCTAGGGGGCTCCGGCTTTTAAAATTGGTGTTGGTGAACACGAATCAATAGATTAATTTTGTGACTATAACACGAAATGCCATGAGACTGGGTTAGTTGGTAGTATCTGGCCATTACCCTTGATATTGCCGTGCCGACCCAAGGCGACGAAAAAAACAGTGTCAGCTTTCTTAGCACTTAAGCCGTTTTTACTGCGTTTTCCCTGTTAGCACCGTTAGCTGCTAGCCGACCGAGCTAACGCCACGATGAGAACCGTGTGGAGACAACCACTCTGGTCCGAATACTTAATTGGAAATCTTAGTTTAACGGTTAACTCGATAGATTGTAAAAAGCAAACCCGTTTACGGATCTTGGTGAGTAATATTATAACTAAATGTGAAAAAAAAGTTGTATATGCCTTTAATTTGCTTTGGGGGCAGCTACTCAATATTTCACAAACTGCATTGAGAGATGTCATTTGTAGTAGGCTACTACTCATCTTTGTTTATGGCTCCTGGAAACATTTTATAAGATAAGGATAAGAGTGTGTCGAATATCTCAAATATCTCTGGTTCTGCCGGATCAACTGTGAGATTTCATTAAATACGGTTCCCCAAAAAGCAGGGGCGGATCTACCGGGGTGGCATGGGGTGGCAACTGCCACCCTAAACAATAGCCTTGCCACCCCAGCTGCCACCCCAGTTGGCATCTTTGTTTTGAAAGAAAAGTTGTGGCTCATCGGACATTTATGAGAGAAAATCTCTAATGTCCGAGTGCAAGTGAATGCAGCACAAGACGCGAGTCTTGTAACCCCTCCCCCGGCCCTGGCGCGAGAGTGGAAATATGATTGGTGGCGAATTCACTTGAACTGGGGGACGGCGCAAAACGAGAAGCCTTTCGGATCCAAGTAGACGGAAGGAATGAGGTATTTGCGGTCTACAATGACAGAGAAGAGAATGTCAAGTTTGGCTGTACTCAGCAATGAATCAAAACGCACTACAGCTGTTGATCTTAATAAGTTTGTGAGGCTTTTTGCTGAACAAGATGGTAATCGCCGCATTCAGCTGTAATAGGCATGCCAACTTGTTGCTCTGCTCACGAATGACTCGATGAGCATACAAAACTGTTAAGATGATGACCTTGTATGCGTGTATATATTTTTTTTTCTTTGTAGGGTTCTGCCCCCAAAAAACTGTTTTAAGTCCTGAGAAAGTAAAATAAGACGGTGTGTAAAACTACACTGCCCAGCCAAAAAAAAGTAACCACTTTGATTTAACTAGGCCAGTAGGTAAGGACTTTCCACTGGATAATAACTGCAGCGATGTTTATGTTTTAGCTGAATACACGTTTTTTTAACCCTAACTGATGCAGTTAGTCACTTCTTTAATATTTGTTCTTTCTGATGTAAAGTCAAGGTTGTAACTGTATATCAATAATGATATAATTACTTGTTTTTCAAATTTGAAGGAGGGTGAGCAAGCATCTTGATGAACATTCATCATTAACTCCTCCAAAAAATATAGTTTATTCAATACTAAATGAATATGTGAATCATAACAGTTCTTCACTATATCTGTAAAGCGTCTTTGAGCACCTATAAAAGCGCTAACAAATTAAATCTATTATTATTATTATTATTATTATTATTTATTAACAGTGATTGACAGCTGATAGGAATAATATGATTGTTAATAGTATCATATTCATACAGACAAACATCGATGAGACAGTTAATTAATGTACTTATTGCAGCAGTCTTCATAGATTTGGTACCCCTGCTGGTCTAAGAGTGAAACAAACTCATTCAGTTATTGTTCAGTTAAAATTCATTAAATTACGTCTGCCACCTTATATATGTATATGTAAGGCTTTACTGATGTGCCACAATAATATCACCTATGTCATTGAGTTAAAATATTAATATTGTGGCTTTCCAAGTTAACATTGATTGTAGGGGTGTAACGGTTCACAAACATTTCGGTTCGGTAGTACCTCGGTTTTTAGGTCACGGTTCGGTTCGGTACGTTTTTGGTACAGCAGAAAAAATTATCACAAAACACTAAATATATATATTTTTTTTTTTTAATTATTATTAAACTGAATAATGTATTCAAATAAATACAAAATATAATAAAATAAACATTAAGGTGCAGCATTTCGATGAACTGAAATAATCTGTATTTGAACTTTACTGTACTAGTACTCACAAAACATAAACTATTAGTTTTGGGTTTTTAATTATTATTAAACTGAATATTCACTCAAATAAATACAAAATATAATAAAATAAACATTAAGGTGCAGCATTTCGATGAACTGAAATAATCTGTATTTGTACTAATACCTAAGCAGCCAGCTTGACATTATGACTTGCTTGTCATTGTATTTTCATGTTTTTTTAAAGAAAAATTAACTTGTCCACATTGCTTGCTGAAAGGGCAGATCTGCTGGCACTAACCATGTCTCCTGCTGTGGAGAACACCCTCTCGCAGGTAGCAGATACAGCCAGATAGCGCTTTGCTAACACGGCAACATAAGGATATTTGGCGTTTGTAATAGCTTTGGCTCGGTCTGAACTTTTTGCGAGTGGTGGAGGCTTAAATGCTAGCGGGAGTTAGGTTTGCACAGTCTTTTTTCTTTTGGTACCGGTGATATTCACGTTCGGGTGATGCCTTTTCAAATTAGTGTGCAAGTTTGATGTATTGCCAGCCGCGTAACCAATTTTAGTTGAACAATGCCGACAAACAGCTTTGGTTCGGTCCACCTGTCTTTGCCCGTCATCCTTGTACGTAACTGCGAAACCAAAATGTTCCCAAACCGGAGACTTCAATGATGCTGGAGGATTTTCGAGCTCAACTTTATCTGCGTTCGCCATTTCGACAGTTCCTCAAATGACTGACTAAATTTGAACGCATCCCTCTGACCAGCTCTCATAGTATGCCTCTCGTCCAATGAAATGACTTGCTCGCTCTATGATATATACCTGAGATTACTTCCAGAAAGTTGTTCATGTTCTCAATTTTTTACGTTTAACGCTATATTCGTTCGGTACACACGTGTACCGAACCAAAGGGCAGATACCGAATAATTTCAGTATGGGTACGTGTACCGTTACACCCCTAATTGATTGATATGATTGCGATTTAAATCAGCATATACTTCTGCCAGGGGATGCCACCCCACAAAATCTCCTGCCACCCTCTTGCCACCCCATGAATATTTGTCTAGATCCGCCCCTGCCAAAAAGAGTGTAATGAATCTTCGAAGTACTCTTTAAGTAAAAAAACGAAAAAAAGAAAAAGAGACGGACTAAAACCTATTAATAATACATAGTGTAGTCCCTTATAGTGTAGTCCCTTTAATGCATAATATCAAGCTATTTCCATTCTAAACTTAGATTTTAACATCCAATATGCGACATGTCATGCTTTATGGAGTGACACTGAAAAGGTACTGCATGTGTCATCTCACGCCTAGACTACTGCAACTCCCTCCTGGCTGGTCTACCTGCATGTGCCATCCGACCTCTGCAGCTCATCCAGAATGCAGCGGCTCGTCTGGTCTTCAACCTTCCTACATTCTCCCACACCACTCCGCTCCTCCGCTCCCTTCACTGGCTTCCGGTAACTGCTAGAATCCACTTCAAGACACTGGTACTTGCTTACCATGCTGCGAATGGATCTGGCCCTTCCTACATCCAGGACATGGTTAAACCGTACACCCCAGCGCGTGCACTACGCTCTGCATCAGCCAAACGACTCGCTGTGCCCTCGCTGCGAGGGGGACCCAAGTTCCCATCGGCGAAAACACGTGGGTTTGCTATCCTGGCTCCAGGATGGTGGAATGAGCTCCCCATTGACATCAGGACAGCAGATAGCTTGCACGTCTTCCGGCGCAAACTGAAAACTCATCTCTTTCGACTCCACTTCGAGCGATAGAACTATTAACGAAGCACTTTTATACTAATAAAGGACTGGCTTATCTAAAGCCAGTTGAGTAGCACTTGAAATGTTTTTGCTCTATGAAGCCTGATGTACTTATATGATTCTGTTTTCTTCAAGTTGTATTTTGTTGGTCGAACGCACTTATTGTAAGTCGCTTTGTTTAAAAGCGTCAGCTAAATGCAATGTAATGTAATGTGAGTCAAGAGGACATGGAAACGGTTCAACGTACATTCTCCTCTCCTGCATGACACACAGGGCAGTTCTTGAGTGTGGCTTTGACAACAAATTAGCTATTCTCGGCTTTTATTTAACAACCTACTCAACACAGGATTTCACAGAGTGGCCGTTGTTACCTGCTGAAGTAATGGTGAAGCACAAAAGTTACAGATCATATGCATTTCCCATGAGGCAAGGCAAGTATATTTATTTAGCACATTTCTTCACAAGGCAGGTCTAAGTGCTTTACAAAAAGATTAAATTCATTAAGATATAGTGCAACAGTTACATTAGAAATGACAAATGACAGATCTATGGAGCATAATAACTGAACACTGCTTCTCCATGTTTAGTTTAGTGACTCTGGGGCGGGAAAGCAGACCCATCCCAGAAGACCTGAGAATTTTGGATAGTTCATAATGTAGCACAAGATCAGAAATGTATCTTGGTCCTAAACCATTCAGTGCTTTATAAACATGAAGAAAAAAAACTAGCAATTCATCACATATGTTTATAAGACAAGACAGTAATTAGGTTTGTTGAGCATTCACGATTTATAATGTTTGTGGTTTTGTTTGAAGTCCTTTCTCAGCGATAGCAGACTTCTGATATCTCCATGGCCAGCTCTATGAGTTCTCCAGCATCCTGACAGGAGCCACAGCAGTTGCAGTCCAGCTCCAGCTTGTAATTGCAGCATTCCTGTCCCTGCTGATCTCTTTCACTCAACGCTGTGATGTATTTGTATGAGGGGAAACAGCGATTCACGGCCCTCTCGCATGTATCCGATATGAGAACCATAAACTCATGGAAACGACAATGCAGGCAGGCGAGGAGAAGTCCTGCACAGTCATCTGGAGGCAGTGACGAGGTAGAAGAAGGGGAAATGAAAAAGAGGAAACATTTATGACCATTATTAAACTAGTACACTAAACACTACAACATTTCACAAAACGCTACAGCATTTCACAAAACGCTTCAAAAAAAGAAAAATTGATCCGTTCCCAATGAAGTACATATTGTATTTAAAGATAATTTGAATGATTGTTAAAGCACAGCATTGACTGTTTTATTTCTGAACTACCCATCCCTTATTTCACCTCCAAGCAATTAGATTGTTAAGCTCTAACTCTCCATTGATACCTTTGAAACCCGTGTAAAGACCTATCCCGTTTAGATCTTATTTATTATCATCAAGAAAACATGCCTGACCACCTTTTGGTTTTATCTAATTATCTTTATTTTGTTTATGCATGCTTTTTGTGTTATAGATATATAGATATTATTTACTTGTATTATTGAATTGACATTTGGTAATTTTTATTTATTTATTTTTGTTTTATATGTGCTTTCTAAATGAATTTGACTGGTCTACAAAGGAACAAAAAAACGAAATTTCTCTAACAATTGCGTAGTGTGAAATCTAAAAGAGTCATCCAGTTCACATAAATATAAATCTCAACTACACCCTTCCTAATCTTGTTAATAACACTACAGTTTCAGGGATTTTCAATGTCATCAATTGCTGTATTTAAGGAGTAATATAAACAGTACCTCCACCTCCCGGCTGGTATGAATCATCAGAGGACAAATGACTGCTGCTGTTCTTCAACTTGTCCGAACACAGGGAGAAGCCGGATCCGCCCCACTTACTGCCACCCAAGGGATCAGTGGGACTGGGATCGGTGTCTAGCTTGTCTTGTTCTGAGATGGTGCTCAGTCTGCACACCGCACTGACCGACCTGCCCGTCATCTTTCTGGGTGGATTCTCCATCACCGTCTGAGGGATGCTGCCTTTGAAAGAATGAATGATTTAGGGGAAAAAATCATAAAAGAGAAGTGACTGCTCCCCTCACAGTCTTGTATATGTTAGATAAGTTACTCACATCCTCCAAGTTACATAAGTTACTCACATCCTCCAAGTCTAGGAGGCAGTTTTAATAATTCAGAGCACCATTAACATGCAGTATTTCAGGGAGGTGAGACCTGAAGCGCATAATGGAGGCTTGCTCAATAAAACTTCAGCGAGGAGAGATTATTGATTTGCAAGCTTTTATTTGGATCTAGTTTCCTGGATTGAATTGGGCAGGAGGAAAATGAATACGGTGTGAAAATATACTCCTCCACAGCGTCCATCAATCACACTGCAGTTTTATTCTGGTTGTGACTAACAATAACTTAATCCAAGTGGTATTTAGCCTGATCAGACAAAAACAACATACCATCACACACATGGTCCTCTATTTTCTCAAGCTCCAATCCATCCTGATTATTCACAGGGAGCTTTACATGAGCGGTCATCTTATGCAGAGTGGAGAAAATACACAGTGAGACACATGCATGCTGAATAATCATAATCACCTAAAGAGCTTCACTGAAGACTGACAGCAATACATCTCAACATCCTGTTTTCCTGTTAAGTGAAGGAATCATGCAATAAATGTGCCTGCATACAAAGGTAGAACACGAACCAACCCCATTATTAAAAGTTATTAATTCTGTCAAAAATATTTACTTTAAGGTTACCTGTCTTTACTGGTTAAATATCCAACAGTGGGATCGGTAGCAGCAGCAACTGTGAACCCCTTTGTGAGCTCCAGTACCTCCCGTCATCATGCACACACCCACAATGTGAGAACACTCCACATAAATCAATACCCGTCTATCAGGAGGCACAACTACAGATATGTGATTCATAATGTATGACAGATCCATTCAATTATGTCAATGGAAAGTCAAGCCGAGTCACTTATCAAACACCTACATACATCGAGTGATTTCAGATAACAATATCATTTATATGTAATGATTCTTCTGCAATGTATTACGTTGCCACAACCAGTGCTTCATCTGCTGACGGTAAACGGCTGAATTGATAACGTTTATAAAAACGTCAACATACCACGGTGGAAAATTTGCCAGCCAGAGCATTTTCTCTCTCTTCCATTACTGAGAGAAGTGGGGCTGTTAGGCGCCATAATGTCATAATGTGAGACACCGTTTACCGTCAAAGCAATCATAAAAATAGATAAAAGACACAAACAGTATACACATTTTTCATGAGGGATTTATTATTCATAGATGCATTGGTTTACAACAATCTATATTATCTACTCTTACAAGCTCGATAAGAGCGAATTCTGCAATGTTTGTGGAGGGAATGAAAAAAAGACCAACGAGTATAAAGAAGCTAGTTTTCTTTTGATCAATTGATTATACTTTAAATACAAATATCAGATCATGTTGGCAGTGAATAATTTCATTTAAAAAGCAACCTCTTTCTTTACCTCTACATTTTTATATATTATGACTAATAGAATAAAATCAGGTAGTGAGGGCCCCAACATAGCATTAAGTAGCAATACAGAGGGGGCAGCTTTTAATTGTGAAGTGCTAACTAGCCTTGTTCCCTTTCCTTTGGCTTCTCTGCTCATCCTGGTCCTTTTGTGTACACACATATAAAATAAGAAAAATGATTAAGAGACAGCTTCACAAACGAGTTTTTGTGATCTCACTCTACTGTACAGAAATAACTAGATTAAGAACAAAATGAAACAAATGATGATAAAAAATGTCCCCCAGAAGAGAGTGTTTGGTTACGTAGATGAAGCAGTAGTTTTTTGGAAACTTTGGGAATATAAAGTCACACAGGCTGTGAGTGAGGCGGCCTCGCAGTGGAGAGTCTTGGACCTCGTGGTCAGAGAGAAGGCACGCGATCGAAATGAAGATTGGGCATCTCCATGTGTTCATCGTGGTTCATCTCCGGGCTGTGGCCGAGCTCGTCTGTGCTCTCCGGAGATTCGTAGGGATAACCTTCACATATCTCCTCATCCTCCTGCTCCTCTTTAATGCTGTGTCAGGGAAAACAACGTGTAATCAGGACTTGTGATCACATAATTACATTCAATCATGTAGCTCCAGAGAGGACACTTACAAAGCCTGTGGAGGGGACTGTGTAGCGCTGCTGTCACTTTGGTATCCAGACCCATTAACCAGGGCTCCATTCATCTGCTCCTGGAGGAGGTGAGGCAGCGAGTGAAATGGGATGCTGCCCAGAGGGTTGTAGAGACAGTTGCTGCCGTCTAGACCACCACTCTGAAAAAAGTTTAAATTCTCATTATCACACTGCAGCAACATTCACATTCACACCAACGGTGTTTCAGGGCCGGTTCGGAGCAGGAGCTTGAAAAGCACCGGGTTTTCCTGTTCACACCGCAGCGGAGCAGCCTCTTAGCTCCGGAATCCGGTTCGTTTCAAGCACCAACAAATTGTCCGGCTAGAGCAAACGCACCGCATACGTCACGCTTACGTCGAGGCGGGGGCAGGGGTGGGATCAACTCCTGAACAACAACAAAAAGCCCGCGTGTTATCCAGTTTGTACACAACGATGGAGAAACTTAACAAGCAGCAGTGGTCCACTGAAGAGACCAGCTACCTACTGGGAATCTGGTCTTCCGAAGAGGTACAGAGGAAGCTGGAGCACAATCGGCCATTGTTGTTGTTGTCGGTGTCAGCTGTGAGGGGTTTTCGTTGGCTTTATGAAGCAGGCACGCAAACGGTTACGTCATGACGCAAACGATGACGCAATGACGCAGCATCAGTCGGACTCTTGGCGGTGTGAAAAGAGCCGGAGCTAAACCGAAGAACCGGTTCTGAACCTAAAAAGCTCTAGCACGGAGCTTGAACCGGAGTTGCGTTGGTGTGAATGAGGTATCAGATAAAGTCGAGAAAATTCCAGACTATTATGAGCATTATGAAGTATGGGCAAATAGTGTCGTATAACAATTTAACACATTTCAGTTTTTATATTGAAAAAAAAGGGCTTTATGTCAGTCTTACCTGAGGAGCAGACCCCGATACGCTCTGGTTGTTATGTGAGTTTTTCTGCAAGGACCTATAAATAGAGATAAAGAGAAAAGCGACAAAAAGTTATATTTAATTTAGAATCAACACCTTAAGGGATCGAGATATGCATCATAGATTTGGGCTGGCACTATGTTAAGAGCAATATTTGGTGCTCGCTGACTGTAGCAGCCATAAAGGTTCATGTTAGATGAGTGAAATATCAGTCTGAACTCTCACTTTCACTTATCCTAGTCCCATACACTGCACAAGAACAGTTTTTCCCCCATGATATCTACATGGTTCATTCAATGGTTAAGATAATTTATATTCTTTACTTTGATATTATGCATGAAGCAATTAAAGGAATATTTAAGCCCTCTTCTACAGGCGTTTTGGGAGGGAATTTTAAGAGGGAAATCTGCTGCTGTTCCCTGAGTGGTGTAGGAACAGTAACATACTGTAGGAGGGTGGAGCTTAGTGGGATATCCTTAAACTTATGGCACTGTGACCATCTGCCTAAACAAACACTCTGCTTCCAGGTCTGTTAGTTTCATTAAATACACACAAGTTAGGTGTCTGAGTCACCGTGGCAAGACATGACAAGCCGAATAACACAATAACGTGGCGTTTTCAAACACCTGCTGACAGGAGTGTTTCTGAGTGATCAAGGTTGTGGGAAATATCACTTTGTTCTCAAAGGCACCCATTTGCTTGTTTGAACACGCCAAATCTAATTTTGTTTGTGGCGCTGGTGGACTTAGGACTTGCTTACAGTAAATATTGTGTGTACTTATCAGGTGGGGCTTGAAGGTCAGAAATGGCCTGCTTATTAGACTTGTAGTTCAATCTAAAAACCACCCAGGGTAGCGAACGTACCCGGTACCAGCAGCCTTCTGAGGTCGTCTCCTGTGGAACTCGATCTCATCCACTGTCCACACGGCTCCCTTCACATTCTCCAAACGTAAAAAGCATTTATGGAGGCTGAGATTATGTCTGACAGCGTTCTGGAAGATTAAAGAAGAGAATACAATTCGGAATTATTTAGTTATTTGCATCCATGTAGTTACATGAAATGTAACCAAATGTTTTCTGAGACTTTTTCTGATTTTTGATGAAAATCTAAAAAGACATTAACTCAGTTCATACCTTCCAAGTAGCTGCATTACGCCGGAAATATGCAAAGGTTCTTGTGAACCAGTTGTAGATTTCATTTAACGTCAGCTGGTTGCGAGGAGATTCAAATATTGCCTGATAGAGAAAGAAAGAGCAATGAGATATTAAAACATCTATTTTGTTTCTTTATGCATTGGAAGTTTAAAAAGAGAGAAAGTGAATGTTACCTGTCTTATGAGGGATGCGTATGTAAATGGCGGTCTAACTTCTGTGCTTAAGTAGAACTCCTTATTATCAACTATATCTGTGGAAAGACATAAAAAAACAATATGTATTCATATATACAGAAAGAGCATGAAACAAAGATAACATTTCCAATTCAATGAAAATAGAAGCAACTTATAAGCCACTTTTCTGTGTCTCTTAGACATGTGTTCATCTTTGCAGAGACATGTTTCAGCCAAAAAAGAAGAATGGAAATAATGAAAAATGGTCTCACCGTTACCTTGGCTGACGGAGCGGCTGTAGCGCCTCCGTACGGGGGTCCCAGTGAACATGCTGTTGGGGGTGAGGACTGAGGGGGATTCAGAGAGCGGCGTCAGGGGGGTGGAGGGAGCCGTGGCACTCTGAGACAAACTCATCTGAGGAGGGCCTTTGGGCATTGTTGACTGGGAGAAGGACACATTGGGCAACAGATTCACCTGAAAAAAACAAAGCAGTTATGTACAGAACGTCAGCGTTACTGTAGACAAAGCCATATTTATCTTAATTGAAGGAAGCAGTTGCAGCAGGTACTTACAGGCTGCGCTGTGGGTTTGGGTTCAGAGGACTTGAGATGAGCCATCATAGCCTGCAGCCGCTCTTTGTCCTTCTTCAACTGCGTTAGAGCGGGACACAGGAATAGAAGTGAGAGAGTTGCTGAATTCACAGCTTGTGTTAGATGAGGAAATGACATTTTGGTGTGGGAATACTTCTAGCATCCTGAGAAGTGTTATTATCTATAGAGACTCACTTCTGTTTCCAGGCCTGGTGTGAAAACAAACCACCACTGCTAACACTTCCTGCATATACTGTCAGAGTTTATAAAAAAACTCTTCCCTTTCTTTGGCAATAGTCTAAAAGAGGACTGTATATTTCACTCTCATTCAATCAAAAATATATTGTCCCTTTAGTCATTTTATTTTAAAATGAGAAATATAAAAACAAAACAAAAAATCTAAACAATCATTCTTAAGCATTGTTACGTGCCAGGCAGGCTGTACTGGTGTGGTTTTCCTCCCCTCCTGTGTTTCTCTCTTCTCCCTGTCTTCTGCACAGCTAATCAGCAGCTGATTGGTATCTGCCTGTGCACCTGAGTCTAATGGCTGATTGGATCCTCTCACCCTCAGCTGGCCTATCAGCAGCCAGGGCCGACCATAAAGGAGGCACCCAGGAAGTCTTCTCGCTCTCTCACTCTGGGCCTGTTGCTGATGAAGGAGCCTGCAGTGTTTAGCCACTAAATTTCTTTGTATTGTCTGACCTTATTGAAAGTGTTTTGAGAGGTGGAGGAGTTAGGTAAGTCTGGGGTACCCTGTACATTTCTCACCACGTAGCTAACTAATGTTTAGACACACTAGGTTAGCGGATTGTTGCCACCCCTGTATATTGTTTTGTCAAAGTCTTTGTAGTTTAGTTGGTGAGGGTTTTTGTTTGAGTTTTGGTTTCAAAGGATAGAAGTAGAGATAGGCCTGGTTTTGTTATGCTTGTTTCTTTTGTTTGGCGCAATCCTTTGACTCCTCCTCCTCCTCACCAACTAAGGTTTCAGTTACATGTCTGTTCGGTTCTGGGTTAAGAAAATAAACCTTTTAGAAACTGTTACGCTGA